TATATCTAATCATTACAAAAGAACCAGCAAATGTGCTACATAGAATATTCTTCCTTTAAAAAGCGGAAATTCTGATTCAGGCTATAAGAATCAGCCCTTAGGACATTATTCTGTAGTAAAATATGCCACCACAGAAAACAAATATTGTATGCTTTCAATTATAGTGGGTAGAGTAGTAAAAATTCATAGGCAGAAAGTAAGTTAGCAGTGGTCAGGGGCTGGGGAGGTGTTCTAGTTTCATTTCCATGGCTATCACAAAATACCATGATAAAAATCAACTGATATTAGGTGAAATCCAGGTCCTCATCCATGCTTTCCTGTCAAGCACTGAGTTATATTCTTAGCAGGTCTGTTGGGGAACAAAATTTGACATGTTTTTTTTCCCCGAGACAGTTTCTCTGTGTAACAGTCCTGGCTATCCTGGAATTTACTTTGTAGACCAGGCTGGCCTCAAACTCACTAAGATCCACCTACCTCTGCTCCCCCCCCCACACACCAAGTGCTAGGATTAAAGGCATGTACCACCACTGCCCAGTCTTGATCTTAAAATTCTTATAGAAATCTAAAAGCTATAGAATGACCAAAATATCACACACACACACACACACACACACACATTACCAAGAAGAACTAATAAATGTTGTAGCTTTCAATTATAAAGCTACAGCAATCAATACAGTGCTATAGCAGTCAAATAGATCAACAGAATACAAGAGTCTAGAAACAATCAAAACTAGTTTCTACAAAGGTTCAAAGGCAACTCAGCAGAGGAAAGAACTTCAGCACAGGGTTATTTTTCAAAACACATTTCCCAGTGACCCAGAGCTTGCTGGACTTGCCCTGGTATTCAGGTCATAAGGGTTTTATTCTGGACAAAGAATGTAACACTCCAGGCAGGTCCTAGAGATTAGGGCAAAGATGGTGGGGAAGGGAGCATTTTGAGGTGACTGGAGTAAGGTGTCCATCAGACTGACTACTCACTGATGCCTCCCATTAAGGGAAAAGTCCAGATGTCCCCAGTTTTCAGGTGAGACCAGAAACTGGCAGCCTTTCTGCCACTGTCAATAGCCCTACTAGTGGATCTACCTACCTACCTACCTACCTACCTACCTACCTACCTACCTACCTAC